GTTTGAGGTTTAGTGTGGGGAGGGATCTGAATCTGGGGGGAGTTAGGGAAATATTCCACTCCTCGGGCTGGGGGGGGGAGAAACAAGGGCTTGGGGTCACCCTGGCAGATCCAGGGGCACCTGCATTGGCACCAGCAGAACTGAGACCTTCCAGCTCTAGCTGGAGACAGATCCTGAGTGATCTGAGGCTAGGGATGATTTTCCAGCATCCCTCAGGATCTGGGTGATTCCCCGGAAGCTGTGGCTTGGCCGGCTGGCACGAGGGGTCTTGGCTGCTGGGGAATTGCTGCCTCTTACATCAGCTGTCCTCTCTGTCCCCACAGTGCTGCACTGGTCACACATCCCTCAGGGCCACCAGGACCACCGTGGTCTCTACCACTATCACCTCCTCCTGTCCCGCACGGAGGATTTCCACCAGCAGCTCCGAGTGGTCCGAGCGGAGCTGAAGCTCTTCAAGCCATCACTGACATCCCCTGGAATGTCCCCACTCAGCACCTCAGTGCCCTCCCAGGTGACCATCTACACCCTGCAGGGGGATGAAGGGACCCCCAAACTCCTACATAGCCAAGAGTTGGATCAAAATTCCCAAAGTCTGGACCTGACAGCAGCAATCCAACCTTGGGTGGAGGGTCCTGAGGACACACTGCGCCTGGAGTTGGACTTCACAGCCAACATCTCAGCCATGCTGGTCACCTCTGAGGGTGAACCACTAGTGTTGGAGGTGGAAACCCAAGAGAACACAGCTAGGAGAGCCAGGAGAGCCCGAGGGCTGGAGGAGGAGTGTGGGAAGAGCGATGGGAAATGTTGCCTGAAGACGTTGAAGGTTTCCTTCCAGGATATTGGTTGGTCAGACTGGATCATCGCCCCCAACAGCTACTACATGAGGTTCTGTGAAGGTTCCTGTCCCCACAACTACAAACCAGCCAGTATGCACACCCAAATCAAATCCCGTGTGCATTCCCTCTCCAAGGCCACCCCCCCACCCTGCTGTGTCCCGGCTGGGTACGACCCCATGGTGCTGATGCACTACGACAGCGAGGGCAGGTTGGTCTCCAGCCTCTTTGAGGACATGCTGGTCACCAGGTGCCACTGTGCCTGATGCCATTGCTGCTGGCTCTGCCTGGAATGTGTCAGCATTAAGATGGGATAAAGTTGTCCTGCTTCTGGGAGTGACAGTATCCCAAAATCCAGACCCTGTGGCACCAAATGCCTCTACAACATCTCTGGCTTCACTGTCCATCTCAGCCCTGGGGGCTTCAAACCCACCATCCAGCTCAGCCCTAGAGTCTCCAGCTCCATCATCCAGCTCAGCCCTGGGGGCTTCAAATCCACCATCCAGCTCAGCCCTGGGATCTCCAGCTCCTCTGATGGTTCAGCCACCTCCTGGGATGGTGGAGGTGAGGGCTTCAAACCCACCATCCAGCTCAGATCTGACTCAGTCCCAGGGTCTCCAGCTCCACCATCCATCTCAGCCCTTGGGTCTCCAACTCCATCTAACTCAATCCCAGGATCTCCAGCTCCATCATCCATCTCAGCACTGGTATCTCCACTTGTGACTTCTCCACAATAACTTATTCCCCACTCTCTTCCCTTATTTAAATCCACATTTTATTGGGTGAATTATGGATGAGCTCCAGCTCCATCATCCATCTCAACCCTGGAGTCTCCAACTCCATCTGACTCAGTCCCAGGGTCTCCAGCTCCACCATCCATCTCAGCCCTTGGGTCTCCAACTCCATCTAAGATGATATGATCTCTAAGGCTCATTCCAACCCCTAATATTTTAGGATCCTATAATTATTCCCACCCAAGAGAGCTCAAAGAGCTTGATATGGATCTGTCCCTAAGTGTCCACAAGACACTCCATCTTCTCTTCTCTCTTCAGAGACTTATTTATACAACTTGACTATTTATTTCTAACTTATTTTATTTTATAACACAACACCTATTTTATCTCTAAGGCTCATTCCAACCCCTAATATTTTAGGATCCTATAATTATTCCCACCCAAGAGAGCTCAAAGAGCTTGATATGGATCTGTCCCTAAGTGTCCACAAGACACTCCATCTTCTCTTCTCTCTTCAGAGACTTATTTATACAACTTGACTATTTATTTCTAACTTATTTTATTTTATAACACAACACCTATTTTGGTGAAAAAAAAGGGTGTTTTTTTTTGTTTTGTCTATTTCTATTTTATATATGTCTATAAAACAGAGAGAATGGAATAATAACATAAGTGAATAAAGTCATTGGACTAGGAATTCTGGTTGCTCCTGCACAGAGCTCCAGCTGGATCCCTACAGCTCCAACCCTCAGCTCCCCTAGGATCTGAATCCATAGGGATTTGCTGGCAAATCCTTATGGTTTTTCCAGTCCCATCCTGCCAGTGGCAGGTGAGTAATGCCTGGGCACTGCTCCCAGAGACCTTTGAGTTGTTTGTGTCCTTGGGATGGTGCTGGTCACAGCCTTGACCCCCAGGTGGGGCATCCAGCTGGAATGTGGCCACTGCTCAATTCCAGGTATCTCTGCTCATGGGACCCCAAAGGAGTGGAAAACCCACCACAGAGGTTGGTGGCACACATTGTGTACCCAAAGGACTTGCCATGGTTGGATGGGGTGACTCTGCTGGTCACAGATCTTCTCTGTCCTGTGTGATCCAGGGATGTCCTGGGCTGCCCAGAGCCTTGGCAGCTCCTGGTGGGGACCTGAGCTTGAGGGATGTGGGATATGGGACCTCCAGTCTGGGGATGAAGGATTTGGGGATCA